GCTAGAATCTCATGGATAAGCGGATTATAAACTTAGAGATGACTCCTTTCGCATCCAAAGCGACATTGCAACGATCATCATGAAAGAAGTCGTCGATGAGAAGGGGATGTTCCACCACGGCCCTATATCGCGAGCTGACGTCCGAACTCGCATAGGCATGCAACGTCTAGACCTCACGCCATTCAAGAAGCTAGGGTCCATCATCGATGATATGGAAGGATGGAACTTCTAGTGATTTATGATGCCAATGATGATGATATATGTCGGTTGAACTTGTATACTTTTTGTAGCCATGACACATTGTGATGTCCACGGTCCCTGCCAAACTTGCGTAACACTACTTTGTTAGTTTGCGTATGATGACCTGCGTACCTCTAGTTAATTAATTTGCGTACTATATGTTGCATCTAGTTGCTAACCCTTTCTTTTTCGGTGTTGCTCTAGTATATTTTGTTGCATATATATGATTGTACATCCTCTTCATGAACATGCATCTCTAACAGGTACCTAGTTTCTTGATGGCGAGATGGAAGTGCTATGTCGTGTACAAAGGGAAGGTTCCGGGGGTGTACAATGAGTGGCATGAGTGTCAGGCGCAAGTGAATGGGTTCTCGGGCGCCAGTCATAAAGGCTTCAAAAGCAAACAAGAAGGAGAAGCTAGTTACTTGAGGTTCACGCTAGCGCAAGAGAGGACTCGTAACCGCCACCTCATGTACTGCATAGTTCCGCTTTGACTCATAGTGATAGCTCTTCTCGCGTATACCTTTGTTTAGATGGATGATGTTGTAGTTGCAAGTATTCAAGACTTTCATGTATCGGTATTTTCGAGATGATGACAAGATACCACTTTGTGTTGGATGATGATTATAATGAGACTATTTGTATGTATATGCTATGATTACATTTGTGGTCTTGCAGGCATTTGTATGTGTATCATGATGACATTTGTATGTGCTAAAGATTCTTCTATAAAGCCTGTTCAAATACAAAACAAATATGCCGAAAAAAACAAAAAACTACAAAAAATAGCAGTAGCGTGTGCAGAACAATTAGCAGCAGCGCGGTAGTAGCAGTAGCGCGCACAAGAGAAGCGCGCTATAGCTATTAGCAGTAGCGAGCTTCCATTAAGCGCGCTGCTGCTACACTTGTGTAGCAGTAGCGCTGGTGAGCACGCCCTACTGCTACGTGTTAGCGGTAGCACCTTATTAGTAGCCCCGGTCCCCGCGCTACTGATACACCTAAAACCCATGTTGCTGCTAGCCTTTTCCCTAGTAGTGCATGCTCCTAGCATGCTGAACATGGAACTTTCCCCTCTCTTTCATCTGTCCAGAAAATGCCTAACACCAGGAAAACCCCTTTGGATGTTTTCCCTCTCCGTCTTCAATGTGTAGTACCGTGTTAGTTCACCTCTAGCACCGCGTATTGCCATGTTATGCCTTTTGATGCCTTGTTTTCTCTGTATTTACTGTTTCTTCCCCCTCTTCTCTCCGGTAGACCCCGAGACTAATGCTCCCCCTGTGATCGACTACGTCGACGACGACACTTCTTCCTTTTCAGCAGAGCTGCCAGGCAAGCAACCCCCCCCCCCTTGAGCATTCTGATATCTCCCATTTCTTTCCCTCTCATGCTTGCATTAGAACTGCTATTGTTTTCTGTATGATCCTACTCTGATGCTTAGCCTGTTTTTGTTACTTGCTTATTGTTACCTTACCTGCTTATCCTAAACTGCTTAGTGTAGGTGGTTAGTGATCCACCAATGACCCCCACCTTGTCCCAGTTGCCCTGCTTTATGTTCGATGACTCGATCAACATGATCGACGTCCAAGCACCGACACCGCAAATCACCCCGTAGTTGTACGACTCTGCAGAGTTACCATCGAGTGCCGAGGGTGGAACCTCTTACATCACTCCTGATGAGACCTCCGTAGTGTAGCTCTTTGGTCATGGTCATCGAGGGTGATTTCCTCCTTAACCACTTCCGATACGGCTCTGTCGTGAAACCCCTCAAGTGTGAACCTCGAGGGTGGATCCTCTTACGTTCACCCTGCTGATTACATCGAGTGGAATTCACCGGGGGTGATTCCTCGGGTTTTCCCCTTGATGTTTGGATACACGGATACTTGGACTTTACAACTGTTACTTGGAAAGGCGGGTCGGCCCTGAGGGGTACCCGCGAGTGATGTGGAGACGGGTTGACCTGGAGGGTACCCGAGAGTTGAACACAAGGCGTGGCCGGGCATTCTTAGCCCTTGTCGCAAGTACTCAAGACGGGGCGACGGGGTCACATCTTTCGTGAGTCTCTGCTCATGACCGCACTACCAACACACTAACAGTTTGGATATTTGATCCGAGGGGCCTTTGGCCTGATAGCACTAACCATCACGTGGGCATAGTATGGGCCTTCTGCGTCGTATACATCAGCCGAAGCTTAATAGACGCCAGCGACTGAGTGGCGCGTGCCGGGTTGGACTGCGTAAGCTCCTTCCTTGTTTAAGGAGCTAGGTCTGCTCACCGGCAGCGTACGCAACGTGCAGGAGTTTCCGGGGAGATGGCCCATGACCCCTGGGGGCATAGGCTTAGTCTGGCGTGCTGACCTCTCTATAAAGCCTAGGTCGGGTTGCGGCGTATTATTTACCGAGGACAGGCATGACCCAGAAAAGTGTGTCCGGCCGGAGTTAATCGAGCGTGGAGGGTAAGTCGGTGCACCCCTGCAGGGAAGAAAACATCTATCAATAGCCTGTCCTACGGTAACGGACACTTGGAGTTGTATCCCGATCGATACAACTAGAACTGGATATTTGTGATGAGAAATGGATAGTATGGCTCTGGGATTTCTTTCTCGCAAGGGGGTCGAGAAAGGATCTCTGGGCGAGGTTGATAACACTACTACTACTTTACTTTATGCTACTGTTATCCCTTCTGATGCTGCATGATGCTTGAAGATGCTAGTCTTCGATAGGACTAGACTTTCCCCTCTATTTTTGGCATTTCTGCAGCCCAATCCACATATACATCCTTCCTTTGATAATGTTGCATATGTAGTGTAGATCCTTGCTTGCGAGTACTTTGGATGAGTACTTGCGGTTGCTTTGCTCCTCCTTTTCCCCTTTTATTTCTTCTTGCTGGTTGTTGCAACCAGATGGTGGTGTCCAGGAGCCAGATACCACCTTTGATGACTGCTACTACCCCCGAGGGTGCCTACTACTATGTGAAGACCGTCGACGACCAGGAGTAGTTAGGAGGCTCCTAGGCAGGAGGCCTTGCCTTTTCGATCGATATTGATTTTGTGCTAGCCTTCTTAAGGAAAACTTGTTTAACTCATGTCTGTACTCAGATATTGTTGCTTCCGGTGACTCTTGTGTATTCGAGCTTATGTATTCGAGCCGTCGAGGCCCCTGTCTTGTAATATAAAGCTTGTATTATTTTAATTTGTGTCTAGAGTTGTGTTGTGATATCTTCCCGTGATTCCTTGATCTTGATCGTACACATTTGCGTGTATGATTAGTGTACGATTGAATCGAGGGCGTCATAGAAACTCTCTGGAAAAAAATGCAGTTTTTCATCGGATCATCAATTACGAGTAGCAAAGTAAGGAAAAACCAATTAAGCGATGATGACTTCAACAACAAAGAGTACATGAATTACTAGACAACAAACCCACATTAGGTAAGCAGTACGCACACACAAACCATGGCCGGGTCGACACGACATTTTTTTACAGCACACACGCCGCAGAAACTAACGCGCGCCGCCCACGCGGCTAGCCAGATTGGACGGGCTTGTCCTGCAATTCTTCTACTGCTGGCTTTGGCTCCGGCTCCCCCGTGCCTACATTCGGCACCGACACGTCGTTGGACAAGCTCTCCCCGTCGGCACAGGCTCCTCCGTTGCTGCTACCTGCGCCGACGCTCCTTCGCTGTAGTCGTACCTGTAGTATTGCTGGCCACGACACATATTGATGTGTTTTTCCCCTGCGTATGCAGGTGCGGTTTCTGAAAGGGAAGTTAGTGCAAGTTTATCAATCATGTGCACGACGATGCCCTTTCCACCGCTCCACGCCAGCCTGCGGCACGCACCACATCAGTACAACAAGGTCAGACACTTCCCTTTCCAGCTATGCGCGCAAGATGTCACCACCGGCCAAAGGCTTCGAAGTACGTGTGCCGCTCCAAACTCATTCATGACCACTTTGCTAACCGACGCACATATGTATGTACATGTGGCGACAGAGCCAGAGATATAGATAGATAGATAGATAGATAGACAGATAGATAGATAGATATAGAGAGAGTATGACTTCTGTTTAAGCGTGAGAGATTGTATGACCCATGAATATGACATATTCGTGACATCATACGAAGGTCTAATTTGCAACGCAAAATATTATGTACTACAGTGTGCATCACAATGATACAAAAGTCGGAAACCCTTTTGAAAACAAATGCGGTTTTTCACCCGGTCATCAATGATGAGTAGCTAAATTAAGCAAAAACAAATTAAACGACAATAACTTCAACAACAAAGAGTACATGAATTACTAGAGGACAATCCCACGTTAGATAAGCAATACATGAATTACTAGAGGACAAGCCCACATTAGGTAAGCAGTACGCACACACAAACCATGGCGGGATCGACACGGCAAATTATTACAGCACACAGGATGCAGAAGCTAAGGCACGCCACCCACGCGGCTAGCCAGATTGGACGGGCTTGTCCTGCGATTCTTCTGCTGCTGGCTCTGGCTCTGGCTCCTCCGTGCCCTCCCCCGGCGCCGGCACATCGTTGGACAAGCTCTCCTCGTCGCCAATGGCGGCTCCTCCGTTGCTGCTACCTGCGCCGTACGCTCCTTCCCCATACCCATACCCGTAGTATTGCTGGGTCATGACACGCTCTCCACCGAACACCTGGTACTACCCGCCCACGTTGGCTCGCACGGGTGCCATTCCGACGGCGTACCCATGCACTGGAGCCCGGGGCCCATAGATGCCCCGCTGCATCTAAACCTGTAGCAGAGCCGGGGGAGCGTACACAGGCCGCTGCACCTGATTCTGAACCTGCACCGGAGCCGGGGGAGCATACACGGGCCGCTGCATCTGATTCTGAACCTGCACCGAAGCTGGGGGCGCGTACATCGGGCGCTGAGCCTGCAGCGGCACGGCGTGGATCACGGGCCGGGCCGCGCGCGGAGGCGCACTCGTCATGGCGCGGCTGTCGCCTGCAGCGGCACGACCTGTCCCCGCCTCGGGGTCGCGCATGCGGTGCAGGAAGACGCTGAGGGGCACGACGTAGTCATCGAAGCCGAGGCGGTTTAGGGCCCACATGATGTCTTCGGCGTTGACGGTCTTGCGGTGCTGCATGCGGCACCGTTCATTGGCCTCGCCGGTGACGAAGCTGATGAACTCCGACACGCATTCCTGGATCGCTTCCTTGGCGTCGTCGGAGATCTTGGCGTGGGCAGGGAGCGCGCGGCGCATGATGCGGATCACGTTTGCGTTTGGCATCAGCCGGTCCTGCTCCCGCCCCACCGGCGTCGCCTGGGTAGGCGCCGGCGCCGCTGGTCCGTTGGGGACGCCGTCGTTCTCCATGGTTAGGGCTAGGCAAGGTCCAATGCAGGTAGTCGCACTTGGCTTTAGGGCAGTGCTTCTGATCGAGTTGCTTCAGTGTGTTAAATAGGATGAGATAGGTATTAGGTGCTGCCTTAGCTGTCCTTTGTATTGCAGATCAAACGACAAGTGTCCATTGAGTGGTTCTGGCGAAGACATGTACTCATGCATGAGGCTATTAATCAGAGGAAAACGATAAATCATACATATATGTATAAATGTGATCTCATCCCCTCCACGTAGGATTGAAACTGTTGGTGGTTTTGAAACTGAAATGGCACATTAAGGGCATGGGCTACGGAGGCTATAGCAAATGCTGGTCTCATCCCCTCCACGTAGGATTGCACTGGTGAAGCAATCGCTGCATGTGATTGTCCTTGTTCATCCACTCATGCAACAAGCAGGTTTCCCTCCCTTTTTCCTTTCGCTCATGCTTTCCGCGGCCAAGCAGCAGCGCCTTCTGCAGGCGACTCTGACATGCTGCGAAGCCACCGTCCCTCACACCCGAGTCTACGTGGCCTGCGGGGCAGCTAGTTGGGGCGACGTATTGTACGTGCCCTAAACACAAAGCAACAAAGCTGCAACGTAATGACAACCAAATCAATGGCGGCACAGGATTTTGGAGAAGGATATCCAGAACAAGAAAACCAATGAAACTACAAGCACGAAAGAGATTGAATCTGTAATTTGCAAGTAAAAAGAGAGTGAATGTAAAGTAAACCTATAAAATTACAAAATTTTAATAAAATTATAAGCAAATGAATATTCTGTAGAGATGTGTGTAGTAATGTCAAAAATATATAATAGAAGTGAAAGAGAAAAAAAAAGAAACAATACCAAGAGAAAAGTACATGAAAAAAAGTTACGAAATAAGCTGAAATAAAATGCTAGGAGGAGATACTGAATTAAACCAAGACCTCTTACTTCGATGCATAAGAAACAACTTACTAAGCTACTGTAATCCCCCTATTTTGAATTTTTCTTCTTAATTATATCATGCCTACGAGACAAGGTGATATTAACATATTAAAGTTTGCTTACCAATATATTTTGATATTTAGCTGAATACCTATGAATTATGATTGGATTGCTCCTGAGTCAAATGGAAACGAGTAGTATCAGCGATCTCACACACCGCGGAGCTTCAAAAAAATATGGGTAGGTGCAATCCAATCTCCGCGGTGTGTGAGATCGCACATTATCTTGAGATTGACGAAGTCTCGACAGACGCCTACGTAGTTGACGGGAACGTCTCCTCTCACTTAATGCACATTGCCAGAACTTGTCAGTCTCATGAGCCACTTTGGTAGCCCCTCTCTTGACTTTGGTTAGATTGAAATTCAATAGTAGTCCAGAGATTCCGAGCACCTCTATCTTCAAACGAACCAAAGTGGATCCGCTCAAAGAGTGATTAGAAAAAATACGATGAGCAAACATGTAATCAATCATCGAAGTAATAGGATGGTCCAAAGTGAGAGCGATGTAAAGTCCCACCAGGCATAGACGCAACTCAACCACTTCATCCTAGGTTGAAACCAAGATATTGCCCTCAGAGCCTCTTGCCATAACTCCCGGGCTAGCCAACTGGACATTTTTAGCAACAAAAGTAGCATCCACATCTAAGTTAGTGCAACAATCGATCGGAAGTGGCTCCCACAACAGACTTCTAGAAGTTGGTTTGTCACCAAGTTGCTACGGAACACCAGTGATTTGTCTTTAAATTCAAGTACTGAAGAAGGCATGGTAAAACTCAGAAAAAAGGACCAATAGTTGTCCAAAATATTAACGGATGCCATGATAGACGCATTTCCTCTCCAAAAATAACATCATTCCTTAAGGTCCAGGCCCTCCAGAATATAAATAAAATCTTGGAATGAGTGGAAGTATCAACTCTGTCCACTAAGACCAACAACCGATCCACACTTGAATTCATGAAAACATACTCATATGGGAAATTCCAAATGTTTCAGAGACCCAAGCGTAAAGTGCACACCTTCATACAAGTTACTATGACATGAAAAAGATACTCTTCGGTAGAATCACATATGAAACACACCCCACAGGTGTTTTTCCAATGCTTCTTTCTATTAACATGTACAATGAGATTGTTCGACACTCGCCAAGCAAAGACTCAAATTTCTATGGCACATTAGCCTTCAACACAAGACTCCACATCTTCCTTTCCCCATACATCGCTGCTATACCATAACGGATGAATACCCAATATTTTGGACGTGCTGGAACGTGAAGTTACCTTAGCTTGCTAAGATATAAGCTTGTGTAGATTTTCAAAAAGTGCATTTTTGTCTTGTGCTTCAAACTTTTTTTTGAGAAAATGGTGAGTAGGCAACAGATATGTCTCAAACGTATTTATATATTTTTTATTGTTTCATGCTATATTTATGTCATTGTGGTATAGCTTTGACACAAATTTCTCAGTGCCATTTATTGTTTTTGAAGTTTCCATGAAAATCATTTTTTTGGGACAAAAAAAATCCAGAAAAAATCAGCGGAAATATGAAGTCTAGACGCTTCAAGGAAGCTCCAACATAGGGCAGGGTGGCACACAAGGGACCCACGCACCAGGAGGGAGCGCGTGTGGTGGGCTCATGTGGGCCCGCTTAACCTCCGATCCACCACCTCTCAGTCCCTGAGCCATTATATACCTTCGAAACCCTTCATTATTTCTAAACCCGAATTTTTTGCCACCGCACACCTCTATTTTTCATGATCCAATATAGAGGCCTTTTTCGGTACTCTGACGAAGGGGAAATTGTTCACGGTGGCCATCTCCATCAACATGAAGGCCGTCATGATCACCCGTGAGTAGTTCTGTTTGGACTATGGTTCCATAACAGTAGCTAGATGGTTCCCTCTCTCTTGCTTCTCAATACATCTCATGAGCTCCCCTACATGATTGCGATCCATCTAATGTAATCTGTTGGTGTGTTTGTCGGGATATGATGAATTGTCGTTTTATGATCAAATTTATTCATGAATCTTTATTAGATATATTTGGTTTCTTTGCTAAATAATTCTTATTCCTATATGCTCTCCGATCTATTCTTCTTTGTTTGGCCAAGTTTGGGGTTTGATCTTGAAGAGGGAGTTGTGTATGATAGTTGGCTTCAACTATGCCAGTAAGCTACCAAAGTGATAGAAAGTGGAAAAGTCTTGTATCGTGTTGTTGCCACTAGGGATAAAAATATGCTTGTGTAGTTGCCCATTGAACACATAGTGAAGACAATATATCATCTACTTCATGTCATCATACGCAGTGCAATAATCTGGTTTTACTTAATACTTTAAGATGCATGCTGGATAGCAGTCTTGCATGGATTATTAGTTATATATAGATATAGTTGGATAAAAGTCTATAGATCTACGAACGTGATGGCATCAGTGTTCACACATAGTACATTTCATTGTTGGATCTTGGCATGGCTATGTGAATCGAGAGAGGTGGAAGGAATATGAATCATGGAACCACATGCAATAATTAACATAGTTGTGAATTTGATGATTGAATGGGAGTAGACACATTCAACTCTCATGAGAGTGCCAACTCCAGCTCAACGTGAGCGGTGGCTCCCGACCGGGAACAGCTAGATCAAAGCTAATGAGGATGGTGCACTATCCTGTTTTGGGAAGAAGGGGGAGTTGTGTGGTGCTGAGATACCACAGTGGAGCGTTTTGGGCAGGCGTGTGTCATTTTTTTCCTGTCAGCATATGTGGAACCCCGAGCGGACAAAGGTTTTGTCGTGTCATACGGAGGATCTCTTCATTTAATGAGATTTTTAGCACCAACATGTTGTCATGCGATGACACATATACCTCTGTGTTGTTGCTTCTATCCTATCACGACAAAGTTGCTTGCATGCATTTATTGTGTGTGCTACCTCTTGAGCACTGTGTTGGTTTTCCCTTAAAGAGGAAAGGGTGATGCAGCAAAGTAGAGTAAGTATTTCTCTCAATTTTTGAGAACCAAGGTATCAATACAGTAGGAGACTACACGCAATTCCCTCGTACCTACACAAACAAATAAGAACCTCGCAACCAACGCGATAAAGGTGTTGTCAATCCCTTCACGGTCACTGATATCTGATAGAGATAATAATAATAGGATAAATATTTTTGGTATTTTTATGATATAGATTGAAAGTAAAGATTGCAAAGTAAAATAGTTTGGAAACTTATATGATAAAAGATAGACCCGGGGGCCATAGGTTTCACTGGTGGCTTCTCTCAAGATAGCATAAGTATTACGGTGGGTGAACAAATTACTGTCGAGCAATTGATAGAAAAGTGCATAATTATGAGAATATCTCGGCATGATCATGTATATAGGCATCACGTCCGCGACAAGTAGACCGAAATAATTCTGCATCTACTACTATTACTCCACACATCGACCGCTATCCAGTGTGCATCTAGAGTATTAAGTTCATAAGAACAGAGTAACACATTAGGCAAGATGACATGATTTAGAGGGATAAACACAAGCAATATGATATAAACCCCATCTTTTTCTCCTCGATGGCAACAATACAATACGCACCTTGATGCCCCTGCTGTCACTAGGAAAGGACACCGCAAGATTGAACCCAAAGCTAAGCACTTCTCCCATTGCAAGAAAGATCAATCTAGTAGGCAAAACCAAACTAATAATTCGAGGAGACTTGCAAAGATAACCAATCATACATAAAAGATTTCAGAGAAGAATCAAATATTGTTCCTAGATAAACTTGATCATAAACCCACAATTCATCGGATCCTGACAAACACACCGCAAAAAGAGTTACATCAAATAGATCTCCAAGAAGATCGAGGAGAACATTGTATTGAGATCCAAAGAGAGAGAAGAAGTCATATGGCTAATAACTATGGACCTGAAGGTCTGTAGTAAACTACTCCCACATCATCGGAAAGGCTATGGTGTTGATGTAGAAGCCCTCGGTGATCGATTCCCCCTCAGGCGGAGC